TGGTGTGACAGCGTTGGCTTTGTCATATTTTGAGGTATAAACCATATGAAATCCTGCGTAATTCGGGCCTGAAGCCCTGCGGAAAAAAATAATGGAAATTTTGATACGTCTGTTTTTGCCTCTTCTGTATTAGACATGACAAGTCTTACTAAGGAGCAATTACTGTTGTTATTTGCTACCACTCGAGCTATTTCTAAGTGCCTTCGCCTCTCTAAGAGTAAATTACGGAGTGTGTTTTAAATTTGACTTTCGTATTTTTGACTTCTGGATGAAAAACAGCCATGTGTTATAGAGCTTAGCGTATGTGAGCTGACTTCGCAGTGAATTTTTTTTTCAGCAAGCAACGAATGTGCCGATAGAGCACTGAATACCTGCGATGAAAACGCGGACTGCATCGATACACAGGATTCTTATACCTGCCAGTGCTATCCAGGCTTTGTCGATGTTTCTTCTAGTGCCAACCTACAGCCTGGAAGGGTTTGTACGGTACAAACAACTTGTCCAAAGCAAAAAACAGATCTCATGTTTCTGATCGATGGATCCGGCTCTATCGGCTCATATGTCTTCAAAAATGAGGTAATTTTTGAGAGTTTCAAAAAAAACTAAAATTTAAAAAGCCGAAAAAATAAGGGTTGCAAAATTTAGAAAAAAAGCAAAAATTTAAAAAAAAAGCTCGACAGAAACAAGATCCGGAAGAAAAATTTTATAAACTCTCTGTTGAGTTTTTGTCGTTCATTGGAATTAAATTTTACAAATTTTGGATTCTTTTTTGACGGCATGAAGGTTCTTGATAAATTAAACTTTGCCCACTTCCTAGGAGACAGGAACTTTTCAAATTTTCTTTTAAATTAATTTTTGCTGCAACGTAAAGGATTGCTCGGGCGATTCCCAAAGACCTGTCAAACAAAGATCGAACATATGGTGAGTACTTACCATTGAAGGTACGCAGTTCAGAACTGAAGAGCTGACATAGTTAAGCAAGGAGTATAGGAGCATAATATTAACACTACCAACGAGAATAAAGCAGGCGGTTTTGGTATTCTTGTTATTTTTATTATCCATAAAAATATAACATGGAGCTCTATCAGCTGTATGAAATATGATTTAAAAATAACTTCATTTATGCACAAGCATTACATATGAATAAGTTATTTTTATTTTTCCTGATGCTTTAACTCACCATTTTCTGGTAAAGCTTGGTTTATAGGCCTGAAATTAAGCACTGCAAATTCTTTTTATCAGTTTACTTGGAATTTTTTAGGAACTTTTTGAATCTTAATACAGGTTTTACGATTCGTCAAGGAATTTGTGGAACTGTTTGATATTGGCCTGGATAACACTCGTGTCGGCTTAATACAATATTCGGACCAGATTAGACATGAATTTGATCTGAGTCAGTTTACCGACAAGGCATCTGTTGTCAGTGCGCTTTCGCAGGTTCAGTACCTAACGGGCCTCACAAGGTTAGTACCATATTTCGTGGTCCAGTCAAACGTGATATCACTTTTCATATGCTACTTGCAAATTTTTGTTATGTTAGCGTATATATTTGCGATTCGCTGTACCCAGAAGCAGCCATTAATTAGCAGTCTAATTGTCCGTCTATGTAATTGGCAATTCCCAAAATTTCATAACTGCTTTGACCCATGCTTAATCAACTGATGGACAGCCTACTGGCGATTCTGAAGTTCTTTTCTTCTGTTGGAGGGAATAGCGGCTCAGAGTTTTTCCTGACAGATTTTGTCGGCGTTTTGAAATGCCTCTGATGTATGTTGAGCTTACTTATAACAAATTTTTTTGCACGCTAAAATTTTTACAATTGCAGGACCGGTGCTGCGATCCAGCATATGGTGATGGAAGGTTTCTCGGAGCGACGTGGTGCTCGCACACAAGGAGAC